AACAGTCTTCTATCAGAGCTGTACTGTCTTCAATGTGAAGAGATTTAATATAAATTTTGACTTGGTGAAACATGGCCAATATCATTATCAGCTACTCAATTTGCAGGCTGAAATTGAGATGAAGTAGACTGTTTGCAAGTGAGAAGCACTGTAGAAAATTCATGAATTAATCAAGAAAAGTTCTCTAGTTTTAAAGATCTGTCCAGTACTGAATCTGGTGACATTTTTTCTCTCTGATTTCTATTATAGTGAATTTTCAGGCCTGTCCAAAATTGTGCATACATTATTAATATTATATATATTAACACCTGAGAAGCAGAAGAAATACTGTCAAACTTTACAGAGATTTTTATTTCAGAAATACTGGATCTGACTGCAGTTTTTAATTACTCATCTAAAGTTCTATCAAATTCAGAAATATATTCAAGCTTCAATTGTAATTTCAATTATATTCTGCTTTGCTCTAAAGTCTGACTGAATTCAGACTATTATTCAGCAGGCTCTCTATAACTTCTTTAATAAATAGTTAATTGATTCTGATATTCTGTGTTTGTTGCTTGCTAAAATCTTTAATGCTATTGCAAGAAGCAATTTACTATTGACTTCTCAGATATCTGTTGGGTACAATAAACTTAAAAGTGTAGTTACTAATGTCTGAACTATACTTCAGAAAGTGATAGATGCTACTGTTATAGCTGCTGAGATATCATGATTAACTAGTCAGACAGTATGAATGCTGAGATTACAGCAGAATTCACCAGTATTTAATTAAATTATGATATCTCTAATAAAGAATATTTTGATTAATACTGTCAGTATTACTCTGAAAGTAGATAAGATGTTACATGCTTTAAAATACTGATCAAATATGCATATTGAGATGCACTATACTGATCAGACAAAGAAGTATACTGTATCAAATAACTATAATATACTGATTGGAGAGAATAAACACTGTAAATATAAAGTATTTGTGTAGTGAACTAACAAGTATAATATTGAAAAGATTTTACTGATTTATAAGAGCTTCAAATGCACTATATTCTTAATTCTTGATGGAGCTCTTATGAAATCAGAACTCTATATCAGCAGCCAGATGAAGCAACTTCATTATGAATATCTGATTCTCATGCAAGATCTTGTGCAATCAGAACATAATGAGCAACAAGATAATGATAAGAATGCTGATAAAGCTGATAATTCATATGCTATCACTCTCTTTCATATCTTAATTAATGTTTACTGCTGACTACCAGCTAGCTGCAAAGTTATGAAATTGCTTGGTTTACAAAGCATGTGGCTTTCTGAACTACTAATTATGCATTTCTTTTTGCAAAAGCTCTGACTTTTATACAGCAGTGATTGAACATATTAATATATGCTTGATGAAGGTTCAACTTCAATCTGATTATTTCAAAAGCTGATCTTTACATTTAATAGAGATGTGCATTGCACTATATTGAAACTTGATGATCTGGTTAAGTATACTTGTGCATTAAGCATTAAGATCAGACAAATAAGATATATATTCATCCACAACCAGAACAGCTGCTGGAGAGTTTTTTTTGCTATGTTCTCTGCTTATAAAATTTGATGCAAGAGAGTACTGAATTTGCCAATTTTGCAGGTGAATTGGAATGAGATTCATATAATTGGTCTACCTGTAATTCACAAATCAAGTCTTTACATAATACCTGTCAGTAAAGATTTTAAAAGACTTGAACTGAATTCTGCTCTACTGACTATCTTTCTTAACTGCACTTGAAGTATTTCCTTTTTATAGATGGATTGAGTGGTTTGATGTATATAGTATTGTATATTAGTTGAAATCTCTCCAGTGTCTGCTGGAGTAACTATACTATAATGGTTTCTATACTATAATGGTTTCTATACTATAATGGTTTCTATACTATAAACATTTATAAACCTGAAAAGATATCCTGAATGTTCCTAGATATATTTGTTGATCAGGGGTTTGAATGTTTCCTGATTTCTATGTTGAGGATTGGAAGCTATGTTTCTGAATTCAGAATGTATATATTTTTAAACTTCCAAACAACTGTGGATTTGGATAAATGTATATTCTGACATAAATGTATCGGGACTAGTGGATCTATGGTTTACAAATCCTCCCCATTTCTGCTATGGAGGCCACTGGTTATCACGTGACATCTCCGAAATTTTGACTTTTTTTTTTACTTTTCCATCGCCAAAAAGCTGTTGGTCTTCTAGAGCTTTCCAAAGACTACTAACAACTCTCCTCAACTCAACCCTGCTCATCCATTTTCTTTCTTTCCGCCCAGTTCTCTCGTCTGTCTTTCCTCCTCGTACTCCGTGCAATTGTGCGCTTCAGGATCGTCTGTAAGTATTTCCACCTTACCTCACCTGTCCCGTTGAAAATTGAACTCGACATGATGAAAATCTTTCGCTGGCACCAGTCCTAGAAAGACTTGTACTCTGTTTGCTGCGGACAACCCTTTGGCTTCTAAATGCCTCCTATCTGATTACTTGTTCATTTTGCTCTTTCGCTGTTTGATCCAAGAGAATCCGTTTCGATTATTAGGACTACACTAACTTGATATGAAACGTTGAGAAACAGATTCAATCGTACTTGAAGACATCTGACATTGCCCCCCTTTTTTTTTTTTTTTTTACTTGGTCAATAGGCACCTTGCATAGATATCACGATGGTACTTCATAACCCTAACAACTGGCACTGGGTGAACAAGGATGTTTCAGCCTGGGCGAAAGATTACCTTGGAGAGAAGCTGGCCGCCATCTCCGCGGAGGAAAATGGAGTGACGGCAAAGGTGTCCAAAATCGTCAGTATGGATGGGGATGTCGATGTTAGCCAACGCAAGGGAAAGGTTATCACGCTCTTTGATGTAAAATTGACATTAGAATTCGAGGGTATGCCCCATATGACTAGCACAGATCAACTCTACTTGTTTTTAGTTTTGAATTCTGTCTAATGCGTGTTCTACAGGCACAACGGACGAGGATGATAGCGTCTCCGGATCCATCAAAATCCCCGAGGTCGCGCATGACACTGAGGAAGATGAGTATGTCGTACGTTTCCCTTTAACACCGTAGTCCGACTCCGTTTGAATCCGTAAAAGAAAATGATTGTAACTCATGATTCAACAGTTCGATATTAGTCTTTACTCGGAGTCTGCATCCAAGCAGCCGGTGAAAGATCTCGTGCGTTCAAAGATTGTGCCGCAACTACGCACAGAGCTCGCTAAGTTGGCCCCTGCGTTGATTGCAGAGCACGGCAAAGATATCCAGCATGCGCCAGGATCCAACCCGTCCAGTGGCTTTGCTACACCCAAGTATCTTTCAAGCGATGTGCAATCGTCTTCCAAACCCGCGACTCAGACAACCACAACCACCACACGCAAGCAAGCCGTGAACACCGTTACCGTGAATGCGTCTGATGAGTTCCGTACCACCGCGGAAGAGATGTATACCACCTTCACTGATCCTCAACGCCTTGCCGTCTTCACCCGTGCGCCTCCAAGACGCTTTGACGGTGCCCAGGTTGGCGGCAAGTTCTCCATCTTTGATGGAAATGTTACTGGCGAGTTTGTAAAACTTGAACAGCCGACTCTTATCGTCCAGAAGTGGCGTCTTGCTCAGTGGCCGGAGGACCATTATAGCACCCTAGAAATTAGATTCGACCAGAACGACGTCGACTGCGTTACTACCTTGCATGTCAAATGGGATGGCGTCCCCGTCGGCCAAGAAGATGTTGTGCAGCGGAATTGGGACGTATACTACGTCAGAAGCATCAAGCAAGCTTTCGGGTAAGTCGGCTTATGCTGTGTTTTGTTGTTTGTGCAATGTTCGACTACCTTTCGCTGCTGCCGCCATAAGTCTGGATTTCAGACAATTACCCCCATCCGTTCTTTGCATAATGTTCTGTTATGTTCAGCATCTTGCTTACAAGTCGCTCTGCTAGGTTTGGCACTATACTCTGATCCGATCTGGCTCTTCCACGAAAAGTCCATGTCGGGCAATAGACATTTAGAATTACCGACTGGAAACATTACCCTGGTGGATTGGCCTTGTCGACCGTCCAACCCCTTTGCATTTGTTTCAGCGTTTAGGCGTTCGTTAGTGTTTTTCCACCTTTAAATTTTGCGCTCAGCATTGGCATGTTTTCGAGGAGTCTTGACAGACCGGTATAAAGGAACGGAAGGATAGATGGGATTTCTGTGCCCACTGTCGGCAGATAATTTTTCTTTCAAGAATGAGAATATGACTGATGTGAAATGCAATATGTACCTTATGACCGCTATATTAGCATTCTGATAAGCTCATTGTCGCTCATCTCTCCATACAAAACAGCTGATTACCATCATGTATGCAGTCGGGCTCCTAATCAGAGATCTTCCGTTGCAGTCTTGCGTATCAGGGACCTTGATCTCTGCATCCTTTGTGGCTTTTGTGTATTCTTGGCGACTGCTCTAGATAGTGATTCCTCGCCAGGTACGCCTGACTATGTGATGCCATCCTTGTAGCGATCACACGATGCTGATCCTTTTCGGCCTCTACGGAGTACAGGCAATGCTCACTGCTCAGGCTGCTAACTAAAGCATGTGACACCACAAGCTCCTCAGCTACTAGTTCATGGAGATCTCCCGCAGCTCCATTCGTCGGCATCCTTCCACGACATACCATCGGCATTCTACTGCAGTCCTATCCCTGAGCGTCGTTGCTGGGGCGTTTGCTATCAAACCAGGGGAAATACAATGCATTGTGGGCACACAAGGACTCAACGAGGCGAAGAGATTTCATTCTTGCCTAACCGCTGTATATACACAGGCTTCTCCTCAATAATTAGCCCCTCCGTGTCATTTCATCATTGAAGGATCGCGGGGTGGCACCTGCTGACTTTTTCATCCCTCGAGACCGACAAATACACATCCAGAGAATCAGGTATCATCTCTGAGACAGGAAATTTCTATATCCAATTCCGCCTTGATGTTTAGTGCACCATGATGCTATCCATCCTCAGAGCGTTATACGCCGTCCCTCTGGTCTATAGCCTGGTCAGCGGTTCGGAGGCAAAGTTCGCACTGCGGCAAGAAGAGACCTTGGAGCAATGGCTTGAAACGGAGAGCTCATATGCCCTCCAATCTATTCTTGACAATATCGGGGACGACGGGGCGAAAGTGCAGGGTGCTCATGCTGGTATTGTCGTTGCGAGCCCGAGCAGGGCTGATCCGGATTGTATGCAGCTATGCTTATCCACCTACTTTCTCTCCGGCGCATACGACGCGATGCGCGGTTTACCCAGATTGAAAAGGTTGCATTTACCTGTTAAACTGATATGACTTTTAGATTTTTATACATGGACTCGAGACGCCGCCCTCGTCTTCAAACACCTAATCGATGCTTTTGTTGCTGGAAACCATGACTCGCAGGATCGCATCCACGAATATATCACCGCTCAATCATATTTACAGACCGTGTCGAATCCGTCTGGAACTTTGTCGACTGGTGGACTTGGTGAGCCAAAGTTTCATGTGGATCAATCTGCGTTCACAGGGAGCTGGGGGCGGCCTCAGGCAGACGGGCCGGCTCTGAGAGCTACTGCGATGATTACCTACGCGAAATGGCTTATCGTAAGGATCCTTTGGTCTGCAAATCGTTGGGAGAGACGTTGACCCTTTGGGTGGCTAGGCCAATGGGCATGAAGATGCCGCGAAATCCATCGTATGGCCTGTCGTGCAGAATGATCTGTCGTACGTTGGCCAGTTCTGGAACTCTACTGGATTTGGTATGCACCTCCTTACCCCTTGTACCCAGCGGATGAGCCGTTGACCTCGAAGTAGACCTATGGGAAGAAGTTCAGGGATCGTCGTTCTTCACGGCAATCGCACAACATCGTGCGCTCGCAGAAGGCAACAATCTTGCCCGCCAGCTTGGGACGGATTGTCCTCACTGCGAGTCGCAAGCACCACAAATACTTTGCTTCTTGCAGTCATTCTGGACCGGGTCCAACATCATCGCGAATTTCGGGGGAGACAGATCCGGTCTTGACGCAAACTCCCTTCTTGGCATCATCCATAACTTCGATCCAGAGGCGGATTGCGATGATAATACATTCCAGCCGTGCTCGTCGAGAGCACTTGCGAATCACAAGAAGGTTACGGATTCTTTTCGTGAAATATACCCGATAAATTCTGGCATGGAAGGTGATCAGGCTGTTGCCGTTGGTCGATATGCTGAAGATGTTTACTATGGAGGACAGCCGTGGTACCTCGCGACGTTTGCCTCTGCCGAGCTCTTGTATGATGCTATTTACCAATGGAATCATACGGGCAAGATTACCATCACCGATGTGTCATTGCCATTTTTCCAAAGCATTTACAAGTCAGCTCAGGTTGGAACTTATTCCTCCTCAACTAATGTCTTCTCTGAGATCATTGCCAATGTCGGGAGCTATGCCGACGGGTACTTGAATGTTGCAGTAAGTTAGCGCCACTATCTTCCCACATATATCCACCTGCTCACGGAAAACAGAGAAAATACACGCCTTGCTCTGGGGCACTAGCTGAGCAGTTCTCAAGAAACGATGGGACACCACTATCTGCGAGTGACCTGACTTGGTCGTACGCTGCTCTTTTGACAGCAAAAGAGAGACGGGAATCGGTTGTGCCGGGATCATGGGGTCAAAAATCTGCGCACGACGTTCCACCGACCTGCTTGGCAACATCGGCGGCTGGAAGTTATCAAACCGCGACCATAACAGGGTGGCCTTCAACTCTGACTCCAACTCCAACTCCAACCAACCCGGCACCATGCCCAACCCCAAGCAGTGTCAAAATCACTTTCCAGTCGGTCACCGACACAAAATGGGGCGAAAACATTTTTCTCGTTGGGTCTATTCCAGAATTAGGATCATGGGAGCCCAGTGCGGCAAAACAACTGAAAGCGGACAAGTACGAAGCCTCTTGCCCCCTGTGGTCCATTCAGATTGATCTCGCCGCGGGGAAGAAATTCGATTACAGATATATCCGGAAGAGTGACGACGGAAGGGTAGTGTGGGAGAGTGATCCGAATCGATCATATACCGTCCCGAAGAAGTGCGGAGTTTCGTCTCTGGTTCTGAAGAGCACTTGGCGCTGATGCCGTTATTCTGTGGTACCCTCTAAGGGTTGAATCTGCACTGTATGGGGGATGAAGCATTTTTATGTGTTTGAATGTATCATTCTCCCGAGACTGCTAAAGGCGCAAATAAATAGGAAAAGACTCTGATATCTTAATAGCTTGGAGTATCAAAGACGGCCCTCATCGAGTCCAGCCATCCAACAGCGGGCAAAGTAGGAAATAATGCCTCCTAGCACGGAGTACGCTTCAGGAACCATTCCTCGGGTCACCTCTCGTCGTCATTTGAGTTTGTGCATAACAACGACCAGGGTTAGGGGCTGCTGGGGGGGGGGTTGGAATGCTGAAGCACAACTCCGCTGTCAACCATCGGAGACGGACAGTAGAATGCAGCTGATATGTCGGCATGAATAACTAACTAACTAGGTTGCCGCCACATTGAACAGCGGATGGATTTTGCAGACGCAAGCTCCAGAAGACAATGTCTGCAGCGTTCGAATACACAGGCCTTGATCTGATAAGAGATAATATAATTAGAGCTCGGATGCAGGTTGGAGCGTAACCTGAAGGCCCTTGCAAGAACTTATTGCAATGATCTTGGGCTTCAGTGTTTACCATTTCACGAAAAGGGACATTCGTCGCAAGTGCCCAAACGAGCTTGGCGGTGAATTTTTGCCGCGAGAGCTTCAAACTTCGTGATGTCATTGCCGACTGGGACCGATGGCTCAGAATACGACCTTCTCACGGTCCAGCCCATTCTACTTAAATACCCGTCGCCTAAAACAACAATAGGCTAATCCTCAAACCTATCGCCTTTCTTCTTCTCGTACAAAAGAGTTCAAGCACCGTATCGGCGAAGATGGCACCGATCCTACCGACTCAACGTCTCGACCGCTGAATCAACACGAGTATAAAGTCGTGGGAGTCCTCCCTGACTTAGCCTCTACAGCAGAAAGCCAATACCATTCCCTCAAAAAACCCAAAACCGTTTTAAAACTTCTTCTCAGAACTACCTTACCAACGATGGCCGCCCCCACCTCCTCCATACCCGCCACCACCCGTGCCCTCTTCCACAACCCCCAAGAAGACTCCCTAACCCGCACCACGCGCCCAGCGCCCACCCCCGACCTTGACGCCGACGAGCACCTCATCCGCGTGCACACCACCGCCCCCTGCGCCGGCGAACTCACCTGGTGGAAATTCGGCATCCCCAAGGCCCCTCTCTTGCACGTCCCCGGCCAGGACGTTGCCGGCACCATCGTCCTCGCCCCTCCCACATCCTCCTTCAAGCCCGGCGACGCGGTCTACGCGCGAATTCCATGGTCCAGACCCGGCGCCGCCCAGGAATACACCATCCTCCTCGGCTCAGAGATCGCTCTGAAGCCGAAGAACCTGGACTTTGTGCATGCCGCGACGGTGCCGATGAGTGCGCTGACGGCGTGGCAGTTGGTCTTCGACCAGGCCGGGTTCAAGGGGCCGGATGACGAGGCGACCAGGGGTAAGGCTGTGGTTGTTACCGCTGCCAGTGGGAACGTTGGGCTGTGGTGTGTGCAGCTTGCGAGGATTGCGGGATTTGAGAGGATTGTGGGCACGTATGGTGGGGATGCGGATATGGAGAAACTGTTGAGGGAAATTGGTGCAACGGACTTGGTGGATTATAAGCAAAGCAGCCTTGCGGAATGGGTGTCCCGGGATCCAGAGCATAGGAAGGTTGACCTGGTGGTGGATTGTTTTGGAAGAGGGGCCCTCGCTGATGCTTGGAACGCCGTCAAGGACGGTGGGCAGTTGCTCAGCGTATGCGAGCCGCCAGAGAGTAGAAAACCTGCAGACTGCCAGGCAAAGGACGTCACGAATCGGTTTTTCATAATGGATGCAGCTCGCGGGAAAGATTTGGCGCGAGTGACGGAGTTCTTAGAAAATGGGAAGTGCAGAGCTTTCCTGGACTCGGTTTACGAATTCAACGACTTTGAAGCAGCGTTCGAGAGAGTTGAAGGGAGACATGCAAGGGGAAAAGTAGTGATCAAAGTTATGAAATGATGGATGAATGATTTCGATGGTGGCTGACGATATAATAACGGACTTGTAGACACACCATGCAATGATAATGAATTTGACCTTTTAATCCATCCATCCATCCAAATTTTTGATTTCCGTTTTGTGCCTCTAATTATGTTAAATATTTAAGGTCTATCCATAGCTGCAAATCTCAGCTAAAACATAATCGACCAAGACGTGGTTAATGGCTGTGCTTCGCGTCTCTTAGAGGGTCTTCTCAATCATTTCAATATCGTATTCTTCCTTGAGAGCCTTGATCAATGGGGCGCAGATCTCCATAGACATGGGTGCAAGGATACCCTATTATCAACAGTTAGCAATGTATGTTCTTTCTTTGAACGACGAAAAAGATGATCCAACGTACCTTTTCACTAATGGTCCCATCAAGGACCTGCTTAACAGCAACAGCACAGGGCACACCAACCAATCTAGCCATCGAGGAGTAGCCCTTTGGATCACCATAGTCGCACAAGGTGCTTGTTCTGGTCTCCTTGCTGCCATCCTTGTTCTCAATCTCAAACCTGTGCTGCAACATAACCATATCCCTCTCACCAGGGCCGTACTGCATCTTCTGCTCCAAGGTTGCGCAGAGGGTATCAAGGGGGTTGCCACGAGGGGTAATCTTCTCGTCGGAGAAAAGGCCAATCCAGCGGAGACCTGCGATGATGCGGTTTTTCTCTTCGGTGGATGGGAATTCCGTCTTGGAGGAGATAGCCCAGGCGAGATCCTTTTCATCAGAGGATGAGGCGCCGAGCACTTGCTTGGTGGCCTCCTTCCAGGCAATTGGAGAATTCAAGTAGTCCTTGGGCTCGTCGCTAAGGAATCCGATGTCCACGAGGGCACGAATCATTGCCGGGAATCCCTGGAAGCGGAGGGTGCCACGGATCACGGTCTCGGCTTCAGGGATGTGGTAGCGCTCCTTGTACATTGTTGAGTCACGGTTGGGGTAGGCGACGAAGGCAAAGCCGGGGTAGATGAAATACGGCTGAGCAGTGCCCATTAGCTCAGGGCCGGAGACAGACTCGATCTTGCCGTCCTTGTAGTATTTTGCGGCATTGCGAAGAGCAAGAAGGACGCCTCTGCTAGACCATGAGAACTTGTATCCCAGAGGATTGTCGGAGCACTCAGGTGCGGGGAGACCACCGCAGTATGAAAGGAAAGAAGTAATCTTGCCGCCAGCGGCGTGGACCTAACGTGGTTGTCAGTCAGGGTCCCCCCTGAAGACGCATACACAGTTGTTCGGGGAGACATACCTCAGTGATAGTCTTAACGGCATAGAGATGATCAATACCCTATTTGCACCAATTCGTAAGCCTACGCAGTTCCTTCCACGCTTCGTTTTGGGTTAAAAAAGTATTAGAAACATACGGGATCAAGACCAATCTCGTTCATGACAGTAATTCCTGCCTCCTTGGCCTCCTTCTCCAACTCCAACATTGCGGGTGAGACGTACGATGTCGTGACAACATTCTTCTTAGTACGGATAGCCGCCTTGATCACAGTAGCATGATGGATATACGGGATCAAGGAGATGACAAGGTCATTCTTGGAAAGCTCAGCGTCGAGAGCTTCGCTGTTGTTCACGTCAAGGGAGATTGGAGTGGTGTTTTTCATGCCTTGGCAAAGCTTCTTCGCAGATTCGAGAGTGCGGCAAGCTGTCGACAAGTGAACAAATGGTCAGTCATTGTTGCTGGACTGTAGAAGGGCGTTTATCCAAGCAAATTTAGCAGATTGGGAGGACATACCGACTGTAACGTGGACCCCGTCATTGCTGAGGATATCGAGAGTTGGCTTGGTCACTGTCAATTGACACAGTCAGTCTTGTTTGCTTTCGCCAATTGAACGTTTCTTGAAAGGACCGCATACCGAATCCGCTTCCTAGACTATGCAGAATCATTCATCGTCAGCATGAAAACAGTTTGACTAAGATTCTCTCCTCCGGGTCGGCCAACGTCGTGAGAGAAGAGCAACCGCCAACTTACAGCAGCACCTTGCGACCTTCGTATGACTGAGGCATTTTTGAATCGTAGACAGCTTGTTTAGATGATGATAAACGGGCGATTGATGTCAGGCAAGCCAAGCAGAGACTGGCGGATGATCGAGGGGTTGACGATTGCAGGTCGGACGTGTCGCTGCGCTGTTCCCCCGCCTTTTGACTTTTCGCTGCCCCTCGCCCTGAGCAACAGGCGGTTACCGGATGACTCAGCCAGGAGGGAGATGCACAGAACCGGGTATATCATTTCTAGATATGGAGTACATAGACATGTGTGTATATTCTAAAAAGCTCGAGGAAACAACAGGGGGGCTAATATGTAGAAATGAGATAAAAAAATCGGAGATAATAGCTCTATCCCTGTCCATAAAGGAAGCAGAGCCCACCGTGGTGATACATGCTAAGGGACTGGCTCCAGACATCCGAACAGAAAAAAGGAAACACGCATGACCGGGGAAGGGCACGTCTACAGACTCTTCATCTTTTTCGCCATATGCTCGTCGTCAGAAGACCACTCATTGGACATGCTGCTGGACAGTTGCGTGTCACGCAATGCCGACCCACGGGCACTATGAGTATGTCGTCTTCGTCCTTGCTTTCGGACTCGCCATTGCCATTCCCAAAGAACTGGCAAGAAGTCCCACAGCCCAAACGATGGCCAGAGGGTGTCTAAGAAGATAATGTCGGTATCTTCATGGCATTGCCAGAGCATGAAGTCGCTTAATCGTTCCACGCCCGATGTACGGATTAAGAGGTCCAGGGGTGGGCTATCCGCAGTGAGCATGTGGTCGTCAAGGGTTTGAGTAGAAATCGTTTCGGGGGAGAGGAATATCAGCTGGTCGCTGTTCGGAGGATATGACGTATAGGGCCCAGATACTGTGGACAGCTTGCTTGCCATCTGGGACTGTTGCAGAGTTGTCGTAGAAGAAAACGAAGATGGAGGTTCAATAGTGGAGCGGTCCTCCTCGGACACGAGTTCGACCTCCTTGGGGTTTGGTTCCGCACTTGGTGCTTGTTCTCGGATGGTCTGTACGATTCGTGATTTCGAAAATTGCCGTTTGATCCCATTCGACGAGGTCCGATCAAGTGGGGTACTATAATCGATCACGGTATTGCGTATGGCAGATGTAATTTCGTCCCTAGACGTGTAGGGGAAACAGATATTGAGAATCGCATCCCCGTTCCGACTCGTAAGCTCGACGGCCCGATCGATCGCTTCCAGCACATCCGCCTTCACCAACTCCCTTCTCCCCAACACTCTCACGCTGGCACCATATCTATCGAGCAGGTCACCATGCTGGGATAACTGAGATAGCTTCACCTTCGCCATCTCCATCAGGGCATCGACCTCGAATTTCGACCGCTTGAAATTCTCAATGCTAAATGCGTATATCGTGACCACCTTGACGCCGGCCTTGTAACAGACTTCCAGTATCTATGACGGATCCCAGCTTAGCATCCCAGCCCAAGTGAGAAAATATAAAACCGTTCCGAGGAGCAAGCAAGATACCTTTGCCAGGGCCTCAAACCCCAAATTATGTCCCTCCACTCTCTCTATAGCATGGTTTCTCGCAAACCGTCTATTTCCATCCATCACAAACGCCACGTGTTGCGGGATGGGTCCCTGCTTCAGCGCCCCGATCAGAAGCTCTCTGATGTGCCCAATCCCCCATTCCACCGGCGGGGACGAGGCGAACCATTTCCGCATTTTGGAAAGGTGCATGGATGACGACATGGCGGGCGACTTGGGGATCTCTGTTGCCTCGCGTTTCTTGGAGTTCGTAAAATAAGCGGCCGGGAAACAACAACGGCGACGAGCTAGACATGCAAGTGAGGCAGTATATGAAGAAATATGACTCGTCAGGGCCAAAGAAATCGGATGGTGCTCAAAGATGTAAATCCACCAGTATAGTTCGGTCAGGAGTACGGGAAGCCACGGATGGACACAAGGAGGGCGGAAATTCAAGCGACAGTCAATCTCAAGCACGTCGCCCCAGAGCACGAGATCGTATGAGGGATAGAGGATCGATTGATCACGGACCAGCGCGGAATCGAAAACCAAGCTAATGTAAATTGTCTCGCGAATAGGGGGTCGTTTATCAGGGCGGTCAAATTACAAGCGGAGCCAGAAGCTTTTTGAAATTAGACAATACACAATACAATATGGCGTTTGCTCAAGGAAAAGAGAGACTCTTTGACAAGAGAGCTAACGGAGTGAAGAGAAGGAATTCAATGTGAGATTCCCTTCGAGCATACGTGTTCGCATCAAGCAGGCGTACATATTTTTTTTTGCCCTTGGAGCCGATGCTAAAGTTAGCGCACTGCGGCGGAGAGTTTGCGCAGGATCCTGGCTCGCGGGCCTTGGCGCTGACGTCTATATCAGAGCCATCCAGCAGCTGGACGTCAACGGTCGGCCCGCGAGCTTGTGTGTCTGCCGCTTGTCATATTGCATTTAGGAACACGATGGCATTGGTATTGGGGTTCTGATTATGGATATCAATGCAAGGCTAAGCTCGATGATCCAAGAGGGAAAAAAAGAAAAGAAAAGAAAAGAAAGAGGAAAAGTAAGTATTCATACATGCTCCATTAAATAAAAAAATGAAAGCAGGCCTTTTCTCCGTTCACCAATAGCTCCATCCAGAATGTCAACCCAACACCTGCTCAAGAATTAAAAGGGCCAAAAGTGATTAAGGACATCAAGCGTACATAGCTCATTGACAAACAGGGCGTAAAGAAACCGGAATTCGCTAAACGGTATTTACCCACACATGCAGGCAGAAAACACAGCCGAGGAGCCTGCATTGTTGATCATCTCAAAAACCAAAAGACGTGGCTTGCCCACGTCACATAGATATATATATATATAACCCTGATCTCTTTCACTTATACTTTCTAGAATCCACCCGGATCGGCGACAGCGACCCTGAACTTTCCACCGAAAATCCACTATCCTCGCTCTTCCGTCGCTGCCGTCCGCGCTCCCGCATCGCTCCACGGATGCGTCTGGTAACTTCGTCGAAGCTTTCTTTGCTGTCCAGGGTGGTGAACGACTTCACGGGGAATCCCGCAGATCCAACCAGACCACCGCTGGAGCTGCTGCGGCTATGGCTATCACGGCTAGGCGGCCGTGTGGAGAAAAACCCAAAGTTGGCAAGATCATGGAAGGATTCGTTGCGGGGGAGCTGGCCTTCGACGCCAGGATGGGCGGGCTCGCCGTGCTGCATTCGCCGGAGATCCATCGATTCTCCGTCTAACTGAGGTCTAGATTTCGCCGTGCTTTCGTCGGTGAAGAATGCCTCCTTCAACGGGTCTGCAACAATTCGAGTCGAGTCGAAATCGGGATATAGTTCCGGCCCGAAGGTATTGATTAGGGTTGTAACTTGCTCAGATAGCTCTGCGCGTCGAATCCGAAGTCTATGGAGTGTATTTGCAGACGTCGGGTTAAGCGAGAGCACCAAGGGCCGCAGGGATTTGATGATATCCATCCCTACCTCACCAATGCGCAACGCCGCGAACGTGATGGATGGGAAAAATCCAAAGCCAAATAATACCACTACCCAAAGTGGCACCCATCCTGGGACGTATCCTTGCACGCGGTTATAGTAAGTCCAATATGTGAGGACAACAGTGTAAAACAAGTATAGGATTGGCGCGAATGCCAAAGCAACCAAAAGCTTCCAGGTGGCCATCACATCACGGCCCTGGATCTTGACACTGGACGCTGCCAGAGCCTCTTTTGATTTCTTTCTGGAAATTGTCTTCGTGGCCACAAAAACTGGAGCAAATAGGATTAAACCGGGTAATGTCCCAATAGCCATGACTGCCAACTTGACGAGGCGGTAAATCAAGGTGGTAATCACCTTTATGAACGAAAATTTGGCGTACTCGACTTGGTGGTCACGGACTCCAAGGAGCCATAGTTGTTTGTTGTATTCCATCACGGACTTCTTCACCCCTATTATTCTAGGGTCATTCTTGTAATGTTCATACCCTTTAACGAGCCGACGGTTCAGTTCCACAACAACCGGAAGTGGCAATTTTCTGCCTGTCGAGTTATAAAGTCGTCTTGCGGCTTGAATTAACTACAGATATGTCAGAAACCAAGAAAATAAAGTCTCCGAAACAATCGATGTGAGGTACAAACCATTAAGGTCTCATAGTCTGTACTGGTGACTGTCACCGAGACAAGTCCTTGGTAGATAGTATTCAGCAATGAGCCCACAGCTTCACGTCTGTGCCCATCCCTGTACATTTTGACAAGTTCAGGAGGGACTTCAATGGGGTTGCCAAATTCTATAACCGCCCGAGAACGGAACTTATGGGCATGGAAATAATTCATTCCACAGGGTACAATTTTTACCGGACAGTCGGGATTCTCAGCTAGAGCCCCGAGGGCCATCAGCGCAACACCAGCTTGTTACAAGGTTAGTTTCCAAAGAGTTAAACGGTCGCTGGGGCATAAACGTACCTTTCAAAGGAAGCAGATCCGGACGGTCATGACTGCCACCCTCAGGAAAAATTCCAATGCATCCACCATTGTTTAAGGTGTCAAAAACCGCTCTATAAACCTGGGTTTGATCAATGTGCGGCGCGACCTTGAACTTGGTGCCCTTGAAATCAGGGTTGGGCCCACTAAGAGACTTCATGGTGAAATTTCCGTCGGCAGTGATGTCGGTTCTTCCAGTCAGCTGATAGAGGGAATCCTTGGTTTTGAACGGCTTTCTTAAAATGATCTCTTCGGGACCGCGTATCTCGCCAATATCGGTGCTAGCAGCTTGCCCATTCACCGTCGGAAGTGTGATCGTGCCGCCAACTTGAAACTCGGGGCTTTCGAAATTTGTATCAATCCCTCTCAGCAAGGTAGGGTTGTTCACGGGATCCGGAAGATATATAGCACCCTTGCCGGGCTTCATGTTGTCCATGGCTCTGGACACGGGAACTGCACCAGAAGCCCTGGCGAGCAAGCCAATGAATTTCCGCCGGAAGGACTTCTCAGCGATAAGAAAAGCAACCCGTCTTTGAAGCTCTCTCCGCATAACGCGCATTAAGATTAAGGAATCGACAAACTGTTGGGACGAAAGCACAAAAACGATCGGTCAGTGAAAGTCTTCTCTTGTAACACCATTTGCGCGAAGAAGGACAAT